GGGGGGGTTCATGCCCTGGGCGTCATGAAGCCTTTTTACTCCAGGTCACTTCATTTACTCCAGAGCAACAATATGGACTGTTCTGGAAACTAGCACGTAGATTGTTTTGTTGTTAGAAGCCATAGCAAAGGTCAATGTGGTTAGTGTATAGTAGGCATGGGCGGTAATATGTTGACTGAGGATGTAGTCTGGAGAAGTGGGGAGTTATATAGCAATACATATGCTGCTAATAGTTAGTAGCAGGGTGAAAGTATGATGGAAAACCAGGGATAATAGGGTCTTTCCTTATAATACAACAACTTGCTAACTAGAACAGTGACAGAAAACGGATCAGATGAATTATGTTCCTATTGAAAAAGGTGAATTTCCAAGATACTGTAGCTAGCAGGAGTGACAGTGCTTGCTACAGGTCTGATAAATGTGACTGAAACAATATAAGAGTTGAATGCTTCCTTCAGACCAATGACCAAATGTTGCACACCTCCCCTTTAGTTTAAGTGTGAAATAACTGATTGCAACCTATTTTAAACTTCTGCAGACAATCATTTCTGCCAACTCTCCCATTTTGCACTGTTCTCACCAAGAAAAATCACTTTTTCCTTTGAAAAGAAAGTTTTCCTCGCCCTTTGCATTATTTCCCCCCCATTTAAAGACTTTATAATACTTTTACAGTTTATGTGGAAACTTGGAAAACGTGTATTTGATGTGCTCAATCTCCAATCTTTAAATGAGGGCCACTGAAGTGCCACAGTTCTGCTAAGCACTAAAATCCTGCAGCACAACCCAAAGCAGCTGTGGTGAATAAGTGATAGCTGCTTAGTCTAGGGAATAGTATAATGACTCTTTAAAACACATGTGTTGTCAAAGGGGAAAACAAAGTACTTTCCCCTTTGAGGTATTTAATGTGATCAACCTGTTAGCCAACATCAGAAAGAAGCTATAAAAGGGCTTTCCTGTTGTCTCAGATCTGTGTGGAGGCACGTGGTGTTTCAGGGGCTCGAGCATATGCAATTAACCCCGGGCTGAAAGTGGTGGGGACGGAGATGTATGTTGGGTTTAAATACCATCACAAGCTGTGAGCTGAGGACACAAAGATGGCCATAATTACACTGGAAAAGCCTAATTATGATGGCATTAAGCTTCTCCTGATGAAAAAGCCTGCAGTGCACGATAGCAAACCACAACGCAGCATCAAATAAGGCAACATAATATAGTTGTGCCTGAACCAATCATCAAGATGCTCCATCATTACACTAGGACATAAATCAAAGAAATTATCATCAACATCTGATTGAATGACCCACAATACATTTTTAAAAAGACATGAAAAAAAGCAGCTTTCTAAATCACTTATTTGTACAGAGTCTGACAACATGTCATTAGTGGGAGTATACAAGTTAAAAACAGACATGAGCTGTTCTCTGGGGCTGCATCCAGGCTACTGAATTGCCTGTTCATTTGGCATGTAATAGTCTCTCTGTATTGCCCCCCCCGCGCCCCCCCACTGAGGGCTGACTGAGGGCCAGTGCACAGATTGACTGCAGCACTGAGCCTCAAGATATCATTGCCTAAGGCAGTAGCCACTGACTGAACTGTATATACACACACACACACACACACACACACACACACACACACACACACACCTAAATGAACGATTTGTCCGGGGATGACTTGAGATGTTTGGCTCTATGAAACCTGATGTACTTATATGATTCTGTTTTCTTCAAGGTTGTATCTTCCTGGTCGAATGTACTTATTGTAAGTCGCTTTGGATAAAAGCATCAGCTAAATGCAATGTACATTTTTTTTTCTTGTGTTTTGGTAAGGCTTTATTACTGTATGTCATGATTGGGAGACAAGCAGATTTATTTATAGGATAGATGCTGCTCTAAAGCCTACCGAGAAATGTTATTGTAATGTGTTGTTGTGTGGGTGGCGGTATATCTCAAGGGGGGTTATTTAGGGATAATATGTGACAGAAGTGCACTGGCATCTTTCATATGTGTGATTCCATTTGTTTTTTGTTTCAATTTTGGATTATTTTCAATTAATAAGCAAATTAACCAACTACAAAACCCTGCAATTTCGCACAACAATTTTTTTTTAAATGCTGTAATTGGGAAATAAATACTTACTGAGAAGCTAATCCAAGTCAGTGATTGATAACACCATGTCCATATACTGTACAAACACCCACTACATCATGTTTGCACGGTTAAACAAACACAGCAGCTTGAATTATAGGAAGGTCTGCTTTAGGTCACATATGTCTCGATGTGAGAGATAACAAAGCATTACGATCGTGAGGGAAGACCAACACGCTCATACACACTGTGAGAGCTGTTTGAATTCTTTTTATCAGCACACAGACCTTCCTCTGTTTCCATTTCCCATGGCTCTTCAAGAGGTTACCATAACCCATCTATATGACATCTGGCATCCGCAAACAGTTTCCACTGACACACCCCTTCCTCTCTGTGTGGGCCAAGTGGAGTAAAAACACTGAGACGTCTGTCCTCTGCTGCCCTGTCTGCCCTCAGATACTGTGACAAAGTGTGTGGTACCAATGACGAGCCATCAGTTTGCAAGCAGGCCTGACTAGAGGCAAAGGGGGGGTTTTGAATCACATCCCAGCAGCCAAGATTGGAGTTCTCAGGCAGTGATGGGCAAAGCAGATGAGAAAATTAGATGTACACTGAAAAAGACATTATTTGTTATAGATGTAATATGTCTTATCTTTGGATGTGGATGGAAACACAGCATTATCATTTCTTACAGCCTCAGTCGATTTTCTTTTAATATAAATTTGACATTTTTTCTGACTGAACTAGTAATAATTCTGTCTGATTCAGCTACATTTAGTCGGCTATAGAAAGGATTTTACATCATCCGTAAAAAAGAAACAAATTGAAATTGTTGTCTTGTCATGAAAGAGTTGTGGGAGATGAATTATAGCTGGTTATATATTTGAATTCAAGTTATTATCATAATTCTTTACATTAATGTTCCCCTTGTGTTCTTGACATTCTACAGTGAGCATTTCGATGTATCATTATCAGACCTGTTCTAGCAAATATCTACCATCTGTTCATTTCTGTTGAAGAATGACAAAAACATTTTTGATTAACACTAATCCCCAAAATAAATGAGCTTCCATTAAAGCATAGATAACTTTTCACAGATGGCACTATCCTACATTTTGCTGAACAAGGCTATAGTTTCATGGGGACTGAAGGAGTCTGAAGGAGTCTGAAGGAATCTGTTCCCTATGAGACACACAGCAGGCTTTATAAATAACCATAGGAAGTGTCCTCTGAGGGTTGGGGAATGACAGTGGTCAGGGAAAGGAAGACAGGGGGAAGAACCGAGAGCAGTAATCCAAGGAAGGGAGGGAAGAAAAAGCTTCTCTGAGAGTCCGAATCCCATCAGAGCAGTTATATTCTCACAGCACAATTCTGCGCGACATTCTTAAATTAAATTGTTTACTTTCATTGACAAGCCCAGAGGAATGAGCTGTGGGAAACAAATGCCCCTGGTGATTTCTCCATGAGCAACACATGCATACATGACTGCAATGCACACACAAAGACAGATATAAATAGGGATAAACATACAGTATGTGCACAAAGTGGAAGACATTAGCCTCACAGATATCACTGCCACACACTGGCAATTTCCCAAACAATCTCTTCCCACTCGTCCTTCATTTCGCAGTGTCACTCGGCATGAAGTCAGCCTCGCAGTTGTGGAGGACGCTCGGCATTAAGAGGGAGGGTATAAATAAACAGGCAAACTGTGGGACGCACTGGACACTCCGCCGTGAGCAGTAAAACATCTTTCCCCATGGATACTGATGGACGTCACTGCCTTCTCAGCATGCCCTTTCTCCATTAGCAAAAATCATCGTCTAAACAACCAGCGGCATGCGGTATAAAATCTGTCCTTGTTGATGATGATGAATCACATGAATTCATTTTGTGACTATTATAAGAACGTTTCAGCCTCTCTTTTGCTTTATACAGGCAACACGATTTTTATCAGTTACTGGCAGGAAGCGGTAGAGTTATCATTTACTGGCACTTTACGGAATATGTATTTTTTTAAATGGGACAATTTATCTATGTTACCTCAAAGGAAATAATTGTTCCATAGATGTCCTGTTGATTTAAGATAAATATTTAAACCTTAAATCACAGTGCCAATATTACAGTTTGGCACTGTCTTTGTCTGACTTAAAAAAATAAAGTCAGTAAAGAAGTTAAACACCTACTGTTGTGCCTGCTTGAGAAACACAAACACACACCCTGATTAGCTTGCATATGAACGGTTCTCACCTTGCACGATACCCCAGGGGTACTGTCTGGCCCTCACGGTTTTGTTCCCCACTTTGACCTCTTCCACGCTCCCAACCACAGCAAAGGGCAGAAGGGCCTGTGTAGGGGAAAACAAGTTTTTGTTAAAAATGTCAAAAGGCCAGGGATGTAACTGAAGCCTTTCACAGGGGCTGAATTCCATCCCCCTGTTTGCTTTGTGTTAAACTTTAGAGTTTTTTCCTGTCTTCATGACGGTGTCGGTTGCAGCTCGGCGAATACTTCACAAGTTAAGTACTTAACTAGACACAAACAAGTTATTATAAACAAATAGGACCAAAGAATATAAATAAAAGTGTTTTGACTTTCAAATAAAACCTTTCACTGGGGCTGTCTGTCGTCCCTCTTATCTTTCACAACCATCCCACACGACAGAGGAGTGTAACCACATCGACACATGAGCTTCACCAGAGCTGTGTTACATGTGGCTTAGTTGGGGCTGAGAGACCTATTTGTTGAAGCGATAAAAACACAAAAAGACTTTCTAGCTACGTTCGACCTACTATGCCTCGTCAGGATCGACTGTGAAGCATCATGGGGAAAACATGCCTGATACAAAACCTCAAAAATGTGTGGTGAGTTGAAACCAGCTGGCTGCTCGCAGCTCAGAGGAACAAGCTGGTGAGTGTGGGCGCTGACGTAACGGACTATGAATAGATGGGGATACTGTACATGGACTGCATGTGGGAAAAAACTAAATGCAAATCTAATTTATCCATGAGAGAATTAGCTGTGTGTATGTGTGTGGGCATGTTTAAGCACAGTGTGATTAGGCATCATCTCCATTTTAAAATCATAACTCAAAAAGGCTTTACAAATAAAAGGTGTTTGTGCTTGCTGCCTGAGCCAAAATCAAGAGCACATGTTGAATTACATTGCTAAATTAATATAATTGTTCAGTATTTCTAAAAAACAGTTTATTTTCAAAATGGAACATTTTTAAATTGACATATTGCCGGTTGCAGTTAAGCGTGTGCTGCTATAGAGTACAACAAATATTTTATTATGGAAAGAATTTAGGAATGGAGAACAAGTGTAATCAAACAGAGCCAGTAGTCATATAGTTTTGAGTTATAATGTTTGCTTAGACTGTTTGTTCAAGCACATGCCTAGGGTCAGCTAGGTTTTTTCCCCAGTTTGCACTTTGGATTTGTAGGATTGCAAAGCGTCTGGATAAACAGCATTACTTCAGTATGTGTTAAAACAATAAAATGGTGTCAACATATGCCGCTGTTACCAGATGTGTAACACATGTGGCACTAAAGACATGATGTAACAAAACAGTTGGCACACAGATAATCCTTGTAAATCCTACAATGTTAAGAAGTGTCACAATTCTAAGAACAATGGGCTTTATTCACCCATTTTTTTTATTAAAACCCACATTGAGAACACAAGTATAAACATTTCTGAAAGCAAATTTGGGAAAAGATTTACGAATATAATAGTCAATGAGGCCTAACTGTATAATTTTTATTTTCAACAATTTGAAGCGTGTCGCTCTCTGATCATTCCTGTGTTTTCTTTGAGAGCTCTATTTCTGTTCACACAAATATTCTAAAAGAGGTAACCACAAAACGATATTTAAATGAAAACACAAGGGAAATGTTTACTCAGAATATTTTTTCCACACTTGCCCTCGCTAACATCTCAGTAAATGAGCTGGTAGATCATTTAAATAATTGTTTTAAAAATGTTATAGATTCCATTGCTCCTACTAAGGTAAAGGAAATGTCTGGCAAGAAAATATCTTCATGGAGAAAGGCCATGACCGTGACAACAGAAAAAAGAGTGTCGAAAAGCTGAACGCAGGTGGCGGAAAACAAATCTCCAGGTTCATTTTGACATCCATAGAGAGAGACCTGGCTATTATCATTTTGAAATGAAAAATGCACGACAGTCTTTCTTCTCTGACATCATTGCCAAAAACAAAAACAAAGCACGTGCCTTGTTTGCTACCATCGCCAGACTAACACCAGTGTCAGTTGCCTCTGTATCAGGGACAGGAAAACATTTGCTGTTCCTGATATAGAGGCAACTGACACTGGTGTCCAAACCCTAAATCACATTATACAACATGCTTTTTCAAAAATGATTATCAATGCATGGCCTCAGATCTCCTACATATAGTAAACAAGTCTCTTCACTCAGGTGTATTCCCACGGGCCCTGAAAACTGCAGTCATTAAACCACTCTAAAAACAAATAATCTAGATGCTTCAGTAATGAACAATTACAGGCCCATATCAAACCTCCCATTTGTAGGTAAAATCATTTAAAAAGTAGTTTTTCCGACAGCCGAGTCATTTCTAGCATTTAAATAACTGTTTCGATGTGTTCCAGTCAGGCTTTCGTCCACACCACACCACTGAGACTGCTCTTGTTAAGGTCTTCAATGACATCCACTTAAACACAGACAGTGGCAGAACTTCAGTGTTAGTATTATTAGATCTCAGTGCTGCGTTTGACACTGTTGACCACAACATATTACTGAACCGACTGGAAAACTGGGTGGGACTTTCGGCAACAGTTCTAAATTGGTTTGAATCCTTCTTAAAGGAGAGGAAAAACGTTGTTTCTATAGGTTACTACACATCTGAGTTGACAAATATGACATGTGGGGTTCCTCAAGGCTCCATCTTGGGGCCTCTTCTCATTAACATCTCCATGCTACCACTGGCTCAGATAATAAAAAACAACAAAATAAGTTACCATAGCTATACAGATGACACACAAATGTATATAACCATTTCACCAGGAGACAATGCTCCAATTCAAACACTGAGTAAGTGCATTGAACAAATCAATGACTGGATGTGTCAGAACTTTCTCCAATTAAACAAAGATAAAACTGAGTTAATTGTTTTTGGAGCCAAGGAAGAACGCATTAAAGTCAGCACTGAGCTTCAGTCTGCAATGTTCAAAACAACAGATAAAGCCAGAAATCATGGACACTGACCTGAATTTCATTCAGTTATTATGCTCCAAATATCTGGAACAAACTCCCAGAAACCTGCAGGTCCGCTGCAACTCACACTATTTTAAAATCCAGACTGAAGACTTTTCTTTTTGCCGCTGCTTTTAATTGAACTTAATTAGGGATGTTGGCAAATATCTGGAACACACTACCAGAAACAAGCAGGTCCGCTACAACTCTTACTACTTTTAAATCCAGGCTGATGACTTTTCTTTTTGCCGCTGCTTTTATTCATGTACCTGTGTTATTCATGTTTTATTATCTTTGCTTTTGAATGCACAATTTCTTAATCCTTTTAATTTTTGTAAAGCACTTTGAATTGCCTTGTTCTATAAATAAACTTGCCTCGCCTTTCCTCGTCTTGCCTTTCCTTGTCTTGCCTTACAAAAAAAAAAATGGGTGACATATTCCAGTTAAAGTAAAAAGATGCTTGTTAGGTGTCACAACATGACTTACGTTCATGGAGGCGTTGATCTCACTGACGGCTTCGTCGTCTGTTGGGAATTGATAAATTTGGACCCCGTTGCTGACCAGCTCGCTCATAATCTTTATCTTAAATTTGTTGAGCTCACTCTTGGAAATGGTGTCTGCTTTGGCGATGATCGGTATGATGTTCACCTGAGGAAAGGATGAGAAGAAGACAGGGAGGAGTTCATAAGATAAGTTATCAAATGTGTAGTCCATTGTCCTTGTTTTAATGGTTGAGTCTGCCAAAGACATACAGTATATGCATTCCTAAAGTGAAAGCTGCTTTGTTTGTGTTGAAGGGGAAACGTGGACTCCATATAAACCCATCAATCTCAATATGATGAGAAGATGCAAAGAAAATCGATGTATTCAGTAAATTAAAGATTAGAGCAATTCACTGCCATAGATCAGCAGGCCATTAACAATCAATGTGAATAAAGCTAATTAAACATACCGAGGAGCTACGTATAAACAGAAACCAACCGAAGTACTGTGCTTAATATTACTAAGAAGGCATCCAAGACCATATGCAGCAACACTGTTTAGTGAATACACTCAGACAGAACCCCAACAGATAATAAAACAAACAGCGATTATAAAAACAAACCAGGCTTCATCTCCAATCAGCAGCAGATGTGCAGAAACAAACATGCAGTTTGTCTGCTTTTCTCAGTACGGCTGCATTATCCCAGTCATTAACCAGGAGGATGCTGAGGATCCCCACAGATTCACTCATCAATTCCATAGTGTGCCTCAGAGCAAGAGCCAGCGCTTGTTAGGACTCAAATGACAGGCTCATCATACTTTATTGGATCATTAATTTACAGCAGGGCAGCTAGTATTGTGTTTAAACCCCTATTCAACAAACCAAGTTTATTGATTGCGATCCAGTTCTGACAAGTGAGGAGGGAGGGGACAGGGATGTTTGTTCACTTTCCACAAGTGGGTTTTCCAAGCTGGCCAAGAAGTATTCCCAAATAGTTCTCAGTGTCCGGAGCCCCAGATGGGTCCATGCGACCACTACAGAACAGTTAGCATGTAAATAATCATTGAAGACTTAATAATACTTGATTAACTAAAAATGATTCTGTCATATTTAAGAAAAACTAAACATTAAAACAAAAGGACTCCTCCTTCAGACCCTTATCTCTCTTCCTGCCTTCATCCACCACATACCACACTCACTGGCTTCAACCATCCTCTGTAGGGAGGGGTGATTTACAAGAAAAACACCATTCTCTAGCCTTGACAGCAAACTCTGAGCAGTTAGAGCAAATAGTTATTTCTGCTCTGGTTTGTCAGTGACAGGGCTATTTCTTTCTTCTTCAGTTTAGGTTTATATTCCCACAGATTATACAACATACTATTGATATCTCAGCAAACAAATACAAAACTAATGTGACTGTGGATCTTAATTCTACTGAAGATTGAGTCAAATGCTTCTAATTGCAATGTAATGTATTCAAAATATAACCATGTATTTTGGTGCTGGTTGATTAATTTGATAACAACATCAGTTCCAGCTTCTTATATGTGAAGATTGGCTGATTTTCTCAGTTTTATAATTATATATTTTTACGTGTTGGATAAAACAGTATTGTTGACGTTTTACTTACCAAGGACACAACCGGTTAATTGAAAAAATACCTGTATGCTGAATCAACAACCAAAATGAATCATTAATGAAGCCCTAATGTATCTGTGTCTCTTTTAGGCTACTGGAAGCCAGCAGGTACTTTTGTGGTTGGCCTGTGGGTATCTAGAGCTCATGAAAACGTGCTAAGACAGATAGCATGTGGCGAGCCACTGCTGCAAATTGCCAGCAGCACATTATTATTTTATCTAGAGACCACTACATACAAACCCACCAGGCCTGTAAAACAGAAAAGTGTCACATACACACTGTGGTCATTCAACACTGGCTTGCTTTCAGATAAAACGGGGGTCATATTTCACAAAGTGAGTAGATTGTAGGGACAGAGCCAGAGGGGTCAGAGAGGTTCTCACGGCCACCTCTAAATCTCAACACACTGCTTCACTCACAATGCTGTAAATCATTTTGGATAAAAGTGTCTCGCCAATACTGCTGTCATTTTATACATTCAGGCACTGTGCAAAATACCTTTTCAGGGTGTGTCACCAACATGTCCTTTACAGGCATAATGGAGGTTTTCAAGGATAATGGTTTCATATGGATGAATGTGAAGATTTTACTTTCACTCATATTAGAGTAGAGCAGGTAAGCAACTTCACAACACCAATCCCAATTAGCTCAATGTACCTGCTTTGCTGTGGTTCATATACTGGGATAAAGGTAATATATTTAGCTCAGGTACACTACCAAGTCTTTATTCAAAGCAAAGGGTTCAGAGAGTTGGCTGTGGTGCTTTGGACGGCATCAGGAGACAGTTGGCTACTGCAAGTGCCAGCTTTTGATGACTCTGTTCTGTCTTAAGCAGCCAACAGAGTGGTCAGCGCTGCACCCTTATATGAAAAGAACTGCTGAGTTTGGATCCTGGCTCTTTCTATGTGAAGTCCTCTCGGCTGAAGAGGATTCAGGTTCATGGCTTTGGCCACTTGGTCCTCAGGTAAAACTTGGCAGTAAAAGTAGTCGGGATGGCTCAAATTGGAAAAGAAGATGTCCAAAATGGATTCCACTATAACTGTCTTCAATAAATTGTAAAAATACATCAACATTTATGTTAAGTGAACGTAATTTAAACATAGTAAAATAATGAATTACATAAATACGACAAAATGATTGAATCTGAAGCCCCCATTCAAACTTTAAACTGTCCCTTGCAAGGAGCAGTTTGCTGAATAATCCGGTCATTGTTTTGAAAAGTACCCGGAGACACTTGGCAGAGCTGCGTAGCCGTGCGCTGATAGTTGGCAGAGGTAAATCTGCAGGTCTTGGTCGCAGGCTGACCATCTGCTTTGCTCCTGATTCATTATCACTGCCTCAACAGACAGGAGCAGGGCCAACTTTGTCATGCATGCAGCAGTGCTTTCCGAAACCTTAAGTGATGTGACAGGATGTACACGAGCATATACACATCCTTTAAATCATAGAAACCAATACAATTGAATAGAAAGGACATTTTGTCTCTACGCTGATGCAGCTTTCTCAGATTCAGTGCTTACAAATATCCAAGGAGTTAATATGACCCTCCTGACCTTAGGTCGAACGAGCACCTACAAGGTTGACACACAAATCTTCACTTTTGCCTTTTAACTGCTTATTTCCTTCAGGGCTTTGAAATGTTTGGATGTGCTTTTCTCTGCCTTAAATTCCACCAAGAATCAGGATCAAAAACCACTGAACAGTTTTAGCTTATATCACTGAGCCTTTTTCAAAAATATCTTAGGTAATCCAAAACGTCAAGAAATTGAATTTATAAATGTGTGTCATCAAGAAGAAAAATATGTATATTTCAATACCATACACGTATAGACATTATTTGCTTAAAATCTATCTCTATATATTAATTTCGTCTTGATTGATCATAAGTAGCAATAGTCGCAATGCCTTGCTACATTAGCTTAATCTTCAAAAGAAAACTTCCAAGTAAACTGCTGACAAAGAAAAATATATTCCAGAAAATATAAATTATATAATCTCAACAATTACGGCTCCAATTTATACCTTAGAATTTGCCTGCTTGCCCATTTCTGTCACCGTCCTCCCACCCCCCATAACTAACTCTCCCCCTCTCCCCTACTTTCACGCTCCAACTGCTGCTCTGATGAGATTTGTTTCTAATTGAGGCCAAGCCAGTGATTTTGTATCCACTGAGCTGCACTCATCGGACAATGGCAAAACATGGATCTACCAACCAATAATTTGTGAGGGGAACTTGCACACGAGCAATACAAAAAAGTAACAAATCAATGTGGCTCTGAATGTAAATATTGACTTCTGTACAGCTGACCCGTAAACTGGAATTTGGTCAAACACAAACTCAGTAATTGTAATTATTTACACTGTAGATTACTGAATTGTGTTTAATCATATATAAATGGATATTATATAAATTGATATTATACAAATAGAAATTAAGAAAGTGGAATTGTCCTTTCTTTCACAGCCACATGTTCAACCTTTTCACTTGGACACATGCAGCTGCTAAAACATGCAGGCTTTTAGGTGTGAAACCCCATATACTGTAGGGCAGGTCTTGAAATCCTGTACGTCAAAAGGGAAGCTTGCACATTCACTCGCTACATTTTTCTTTTAGCTTTCTTATTCTTTTGGGACACACAGAGCCCCCACCACAACAAACAGATCAGGGATATGCACACCGGCCTCAGTGAAAGCGAGGTCAGATTACAGCAACACTGTTGGACACACAGACACTGGGAAAAGCATTTTGCCAAAGGGGAAAACCACAGTATATATCTCCTTTTGTGTTTGCGTGTCAGTTGTTTTTACCTTGCTGTCCAATTTTTTCATAGTGACGAGGTCCAGGGACTTGAGGGAGTGTCCTGTTGGGGCGATGAAATATAGGCAGATGTGGATCCTGGTGTCGTGGTAGTTAAACAGCGAGCGTTTGATCTTCAGCTCTTCCTGCAGATAATTTTCAAACTGAGTGTCGATGTAGTCAACGATGGGCTTGTAACTGTGGGGAGAGCCAAGGAAGAACTATAAGGATTTTTATTTGTGGTTAAAAGCATCAATATTTGGCTTCCAATTCATTTGTAATATTGTGAAATGAAATATGGACTTGTCACGAAGGAAATTAAAAGCGATAGTTGTGTTTTCATGCGAGCTGATTCTACGCCAAGATTTCGGCTTATAGCTGTACAGCTTACTGCTGCATGAAACGTGTTCTCGGCTTGGTAGTTTGCTCACAAAAGTCACAAAACATCCCGTCCTCTCTTAGTGAGCATGTGTAGCATACAGTGTCACCAGTAAATCACATAGATAGACATGTACAATGTGAAAACATCAGAGGTTTCTAGTATTTGAGGTTTGAATTCTGAGAGTCAATGGTTTCATCAACAATATCAGAGCAACGTGAATTTTGATATTATATCAATTGAAATGACTGCTAGACAGGACGAACTCTGAACCAATACTGTAAGAAATTTAAATATTGTTTTAGGATTTGACAGCTGATTTGTCTTCATCACCAATATCAGAAATCCCTTACCTTGCAGAGACATATGTGGAAACATTAGTCCTAACATAACATAAAGACGTTGCCTCTATAGTAGCTAATGCTAATGCTAACGCTATTAGTTGCATTGTGGTATACATCACGTAGCCCGGTAGTGCCTTTTATTCTGAAAGCTTTTCTTACTAGAGTTATTATCAGGTTAAATGTCAGTCCTTTCTTATTACCCTTTTCCAAAATGATATCTTATCTTTGTTAATGCAGCAGTACTGTTTGTCTCTGGAAGCTATTTTTAGTGTCTTTCAAAACGGGCACCAGTCTGATAATGTCTGATGAGACCGTTTGGAGAAAATGTGTGCTGCATTCACAACAAGTTTGTTTTGAGCAGTTTATTTCAGTCTGCAGCTTTAACTCATTTAGCTCAGAGAGATGAGAAGGACAACATTAGACCACATACCGTATTTAATAAACTGCATCACAGCTGCCACAAATGAAAGTCTCTTTGAATTGAGGTTGAGATTTATCAGTCACCATAGACACAAGTCTTAAAGTCATAGTTGAGTTCTCACGAAATCACTTTGGCCTTACATATTATGCTGTTGAAGACTACATGATTTAATGTGCTGGGTTTGAAGCATTTCCTGTACAAAGCTAACAGCGCATCATATAGATTGCATTGATGCTGGTTTCAGGCATGGCGCAAAAACTTGAGGGACCTCTATCTTTGTAAAAATGTGTACTTGTTTTGAGATTTGATATTGTAATGTCAGAAATAGAAGAATTGATAAACTCCTACCGCCCACGTCTTAGCATTTTTATGACTTTTTGTAAGATTGATTTCATAAATTGTAATACCCATGAAGAAGTATTTTTTAGATGAATAATTTCAATGCCTTTTAAGACTTTTAAAGCATCCAAAAAACTGAAGTTGTTTGACCCAGATTATCAAGTTTTTAGGAAGAAAAGTGAAGAAACAAGTTTCACAAGTATAATAAGACAGACCTTTACATTTGTCAGCCAGATTTCTTTGTGTGCTGGTGACTCATTTCCTTTTTAATAGCTGTCTAATGCTAATAAATTCTTAACAGGAAGTCCTCCCACATTTTACAGCTCCGAGTGAGACATAAGAGCAAACAATATACTCTATAATATCCTCAGCCAGCGGCATGTTTACAGTCATCTGTCCTCTTCCTTCGCATCTATCTTCAATCTTCTCTGAGGAATGCACCAACTCTGACCTTTTGAGGCTCTCTCAGTGAGCATGTACAGTCCGCTGCAGGCTCTGTCCTTCAGCATGTTGGTTTATACGGCCTACAGAGAAGCTGCTATCAAAAGGGCTTGAGAGTGCTGCTCGCTGGCTAGGTCACAATAAGAACAGTCCATTCCACAGCTGCATGTTTAAGAAAAAGCCATTTCCTCTTTATTGCTCTCCCAGCTCGTATTCTGTTCTATAGAGAGCTCTCGAAACCTGGACTGATGTAAGATTGGGTCTGTTTCTCTCATTAGTATCACAAGCCAACATGGACCTAGTTTCTGCAAAACTATGCAATGTAATCTTGAAAGCTGAAATGAGGGTTTGCATAAGGATTGACAGGGAAATTAGTACCAGATGAATGGGTTTTGAAGAATAGGACAAAACCGTTATAACAACATTTAAACTTTCCTCATGCTTAAATGGCACTGTTTTTGTGCATTAACTGTTTCTCTTATACACATTGTCGTCTTAATTCTGCAACAGATTGACTCAAAGTAAGGACGGTTTCGGTTTGATCTGAAGTTGGCTAATAATCATCTAAGAGTATCGACCCGTCTACACAGCAGCGTTAAAAAAATCTTCCAACGGTTCTCTGCCCATTGACTTTGAATAGGGTGACGTCACTTTGCCTCGCTTTTCGCCGAACTGCATTGTGGGGAAGCAAAGTGAAGATTTCCAGGATTTCAAGGATTTCCAGGATTCCAGGAGTTGAGGATTTTCAGGATTCAAAAGTTGAGCAATGTTCAACTTTTGAAGCTGAGGTGGAAGATTCAGCCAATCAAATCCTGTTTATGCAAATCTGAGTACAAGCGCTAGCCAATCAAACCGCGCGCAAGCTGGGAGAGACTACCGCAGTTCATTTCCTATATTCCTGAAAATGGAGGAGAAATTAGTTATTGCTGTAGCAAATCACCCGGTTCTTTATGACCAGCCGCTAATAACTTACCGGGATGCAAACCGGAGGAACCAGGCATGGAGGGAGGTGGCAGAGACAGTGGGTGAAACTGGTAGGTTTTCGCCTGTTTGGGGATTTTATATCCAGTGTACTTCGTTTTAACATTGCTATTGCTTTGTATGTCGGGGCGGGAGATTCATGTGATTGGTTGTTGGTCGCGTTGCTCGCAAAAAATCCCAAGCTTTCAGACACGCCCACCTCCAAGATTTTTTTAACGCGGCTGTGTGGACGTACCGCTAGTGTGGCGCGGCACAGTTTCGTAGCTGCGAGGCTCCACTAGCACATCCCGTCCATCCGTCCGTCCGTTGACGACGCTTGCGAAACAGAGGGCCTCATCATATAACTTTGCGTGGGGCCTCATGTTGGCCAGGGACGGCCCTGCCTATATACACAATCAAAAGACACATTTATACATGATGTGTGATGTAACCATGCAGCAAGGTCATTCCGAAGTAATGGAGTCCATGCGGTGAAACGTAAACCTTCAAAATGTCACGCACAGTAGATACAAGGATATCTTGACTCACCTTTCATTGTGTGTTGAAGGGTAAAACAATTCAATCGAATTGAATCACATCTGAAGCACCTAAAAATCGTACCTTTTCCACCAGGAAATGTACAAATGTCTAGCAAGCATTTCAAGAAAGTTGTTCCATAGAAGTATTTAGATATGTTACTTGCTTGAATAGTAAAAATAGTGATGCCACAGTGTAGAAATACTCCATTACAGGTAAACGTTATGCTATCAAAATGTTTACTTAAGTGAAAGAGGCCCTTGTGCTTTTTGGGTTTCCCTTTTCTTGTAGTGTGTTCTTTTAGTTTTATGCAAAATAAAGATATTTTTGAACATTACAGCATGGAGACAAGTCACAGTATGAGACACTAAACACTAATATCAACCTGAAAATGAGCAGAATATATCCTCTTTAACTACAGAAGATTTAAAATCAAAATGTTTATCTACAAAAAAGTCAACATACTGTACCTTTCCCAACTCCTAATAATTATATTATGACTATAATGAGGCGTAGATGTGTTCATTGCTTTCATGTTCCAACATTACTACATACGTATTAACAACACATACTTCTGGTTAGCTTTTGAATATCACCAAGGGATCAATGGAGACTCTCATTTCTCTTTTGAGTTGTAATGGAGTAAAAGTATACATACATTACCTCTTAATTGTACATAAATAATGTGAATAATGCTTGTACTCACACTGGTTAACCAAGATGTCACTCGTTTGTAGGCATGTGCTAATTGCTGAAGTGAAATTGCATACCTGTTTATTTCCCCAAAATGCAAATGACAAAACCTTCTCAGTTTGAGATCATGTTTTGTTTCTACAGCCAATTATGTCTTCCTGCGTTCACACACCCCTCCTATACAATCCAAGGCCAGCGTAGCAAAACCTTGAACAAAGCTGGAAGTGTGTGTTCAAGTAATTACCACCCAGGGATTGTGTTTAGTGGTTCATGGCATCCAAAACACAGCCTGCCCCACGCTTTCTTAATTACTCTAATTACACTGCTGATTCCTGTTGTGGCTTGACTTCTGATTCCTTCCTGAGAAACAGCCAGTGGGAAATAAACTCAAACGTACACAAGATTTACTGTAGGCAGAGCTTTCAAAATAAACACTAAAAAGTCCCATTGTAACCTATAGCGAAAACAGACCAAAGGCAGATTTGAACCATAACATCACGCTGCATATTAATGACATTTGGGTTGTTTGAGCTGTTGCATTTGTATGTAAAACATTTAAGAGACCACATTTCGTGCCTTTCAGAAATATTAATTGTCGTTTTAAGCAATAACAGTTAGTTTTTTAAGCTGCTGTGTCAAATTACTCAGTTTAACATTCATTGAAGCGTTTTTTGCTCGAGGATATATTCTGCTAATGTTCATGTCTCCATGCTTTAATGTTCAAAAAGCTCTTTATTTTTCTCATACTGCCTGTGCTGCAGCACCTCTTTTCACCCTCTGTCTGAAACCAGAGCCCAGTCTGCTCTGATTGGTCAGCTGGCCGGCTCTGTTGTGATTGGTCAACAGCTTAGAGATGTCCCGCCCCTTAGCCTATCATGTACAATGTGTTGGAGAGCTAGCCAATAGAAGCGCAACTGTTACATAGCGATGTCACTATTTAAAAACACATTTGTTTTCAGCCTTTGCGGACCATTAACATGCACAAAAAGCTATATATAAACACACCACAGGAAAGGGAAACCCCAAAAAGCATAATATGGCCTCTTTAACATATACGTATTCTTACTGAATAAGTTAAAACCTTTCAGGTGTAATTGATCTGCTCAAGGTGAGTTCAATTATATTTCCTCAAATAGAAGTCAAGTACAGAATTATGCAAAAGTTATTAGGTCAAATTGTAGTTCTTTCATTTTAATTGTATGGCCTCAGCATCAGCATTCCTTTCATTATAAACACCAGTACATAAATAATGGAAGAGAAAAATAGTCATTATATTTTTTTATTTGCAAAAAATACAACACACACCTTTTATTTACCCTCACTGTGCCTGATTCCATTTCCTTCCTGTACCTCGCTGCAGACTTACTGTACACGTGGACGTAATTCATGACAATATTGACACCAATCTTGAATGCATTTCACTCCCCTGCCTGTGTGAAAGTTCCATTTATATAATGGATGTTGTGGAGTGCAGATATCCATAAAGTATTGACCTTGAACTGAATAAAGTGAAGACAATAGAAACTCCAGAGGCCCTGCCCTGCAGTTGACCCCCCTGCTTTCGCTCCATTGGCAGTGTAAGCGATCGATAAAGTATCACACAAAAGAATAAGTTAAGATATCTTTCACCTCTACGCATCCATTTTGACATTCCTCCAATATCTGGGATGTCATTTGTAAGGAGTATAAATGATCCGCGAGTCACCCTATCCCCTTACATTCTCACAGGGAAATAAACTACTGTAGTAGCTGCAGATAGCGGGACATCTGGCAAAGTGGGGAATTATATTTGTGCATCACTGTAACAAGAGAGCACATTTCTCACTGGGGACACGAGAAATGAGACTGCTGGGTGCCAAATCGTCTAATTAATTCAGAGGCGCCATGGAAGTGCTCTGTAGATTAGCAGATTGGACCACAAACAAGAAAAACTGTGTCTTTTTATACTTATGAAAGCGGGCAGTGGGGTCATATTTCACTTAACGGGCTGATGTCAACAGATGTTGTGTTATGGGATGGCTCTTTTATTTCCCTTGGCTTTGTTTGCTGTTTAGCGCTCAAAGCCACACAAATCCCCCGATAAGTAGCGGTGGAATTCATTCCTCTGCAGAGATGTATTTACTAAGTCATTCGGGAAATTAACAAAAAAGGGGCACTTTTTGTTTTCCTATACAGCTGAAGACGTTCTATGGAGAGAGGATTTCTGTGCCGCAGATAATGGTTTCGTCCTCGGAGACAACACACAGCATTATGCCAAACCCAGCTCAGTGAATGAAAGGTTTCAAACAGTGAAGTGTTATCCCTCTGTAATAGCAACAGAACCACTCCAGCAGCCAATAATGAATGGAACAGATAATAATGTAACCAACTACATTATTCAAATGATCTCTCGGCAGTCAGAGCTGTGTGTAATGATGCTCTCTATTCGACAGTCTGTGAAACTGCAACCATTCATTCCCAGCGCACACACACACACACACACACACACACACACACACACACACACACACACACACACACACACACACACACACACACACACACACACACACACACACACACAAAAGTACATGACGTGATTATGTATGCCTCTCATGTCTTTGGCAGAGGACAAGGCCACGCTCGCTATGGCTCGTAAAAAATAAATGTTTCTTCCTCATTCAGAATCTAAATCACTTTATCATATAAGTACAGTTGATAGGCGTGACATTGTTATGGTGACTCCTCTGCAGCTCATGTACGGTAGTCAAACGAGAGAACAATGTGAGGAACTGTAATATCAGGAACAAAGATATGATACTCAGCAGAAAACATGTCACCTCAACATCTGGATTATGAGATAGATGTTTAGGTATACGTGTCTTAGTGCTCTTGAAGATCTTCAAAAATCATTATTTTTTTCCCTTACAGTATGTGCTGTTATATCGATGGCGTGGTCCGATATTGCTTGTTATTTGTTCATTTTTAATAATAATACATTTTATTTCAAAGCGCTTTTCCAGGTGCTCAAAGACGCTTTACAGTGGTTTGATAAAACATGATAACATAGAATAAAGAATAGAAAAATAAATAAATATTAAAACAGCAACACAGCATAATTCACAAATGAAAAGCCAGTCTGAAGAGGTGTGTTTCGGTCAGTGTTTTGAAAGTGGATGGGTCGGTGCAGTCTCTGATGTGTTGTGGAAGGGAGTTCCAGAGGGTGGGGGCAGCGATGGAGAAGGCTCTGTCCCCCCAGGTTCGGAGCTTGGTTCGTGTGGGGATAGAGAGGAGGTTCGCTTCTGATGAACGAAGGCTGCGGGAGGGGGTGTAGTGGTGGGTCAGGTCGGTGAGGTAGGGGGGGTGCCTGGTTATTGAGAACTTTGTGTGTTAGCAGAAGGATTTTGAAGTGTATTCGTTGACGGACAGGGAGCCAGTGCAGGTTTTGAAGGACGGGGTGATTTTTTAACCATGGAGTATAAGATATCGCCTCATAATTTAGTGATCACATGACCAAAGACTATGTATGAGACCAAGGTTTTATATTCCCAACCAAATGTCTTTCAAAAAAAAGTAATCATAATATGCCCAGATGAAATTTCAAGGAAGTAAGATAAGGTGATATTACATTGTATTTGAAAATGTTAAACTGTTTAATGATGATTCATGAATAGTAGAGGTTTTCATTTATTTTTATTTATTTAGCTGATTCTAAAGGTATCCAAAAGTATCCATATTGAACATTTATTTTTACATTACTAATAAAAAATTTATTTTATTTGTGTTCAGTAACTTCAAGTTTATGGCAATTAGTAAAGTTCAATATTCTTTCAGTTTGATTTAAAGAAAAAATCCATAATAGGAGTCGGATAAAATACAAATAAATCGTATTCCCATGGATTATTTTACTTATTAAATCATGGACATGTGCTTTATTCAGTAACTGACTATATCTGACCCTGAACATACAGTATATCTTCATGAGGAGCATATCAAATACATTTTCTTGGGAACACTGTGCAGTATTCTCTAGATCAGGGGTGTCCAAACATTTTTCAACGAGGGCCACATACAGAAACATATACGAAGGGCTGGGCCACTCACTAGAGGTATATTGCCTCATAAGTTCAGTTATAAGTTAGAAAAATCAATCGCTAAATTATTCTTGATACTTGAAAATGCTTTAAGAAACAGAACAGCCTACATCACAGCTTCGCCTCATAGGGTTTCATTTATTTAGTTGGCAGCTCATTCCTTAAAGCAGAAGCCTCAGATATCTTTAATAAGTGGAAATATGAAGGGTATATTTCAAGCTTAATATGTAAATACGTTATTAGGCTTTTTTCTTATCAATTTAAATTAGTTAGAAAATGTTTTCAACTTTAAAAACTGTGCTTATGAGTACTGTGTAATATATGTGTACGTATATATTTACAAAGTACAATATAAGACAAGCACAAGTTTCATTTGTGGGCCGTACTCCATTATACTTTTTTAATTTGCTGAGTGCCGATTCAAAATGGTCCGTGTTCCACTTTGACCGCGGGGCGTAGTTTGGACCCCCCTGCACTATGTGAATCACTCCAATTAAAAACCCTAGCTGTGGCTCCGAGGTGTTGGATTATTATGTGCTTTATTCAGTAACTGACTACACCTGACCCTGAACATACGGTATATCTTCGGCATATAAAACACACTTTCTTGGGATCACTGTGCAGACATCAAATCAAATTCCTCGTACGTGTCAACCTACCTGGTAATAAACCTGTGTCTGGTTCTGATTCTGATTCTGAGTATACACTATGTGAATCACTCCAATTAAAAACCCTACCTTTGGCTCCGAGGTGTTGCATGTCGCTGAGACCTTGACTCTGGCCCAGGTGAGTGGGATGCTGGGTGGGAAGACAGATGACACCGCAGAAGAAAGTCTGCGTCCCGGGGCTGACTGCATTATCCAGTCTGAACACCCACTCAGGAGCAAGACCCAGCAGGGCAGATGGGACCAGAATCTGACTCATTTAAATAGACCTTGGAGTTGCCAATTGGCGTTTAGCCTGTGAACTGAGGCAGAAAATAACACCTTCTAAATAATGAAATAAGCCTTCATTTAATGAAAGATTCAGGCTCCATGTCCTTTAACTAAACCTGAAGACCTTGGATGAGGATTATGTTTCCATGGCAGTGCTTACCCACATTATATGAATATTTCTCAGCCCTTTAACATCTCTTCCTCTGGCAGGACCTGAAACGTTTTAATTTGCCGCATAAAAGAGGAGACTAATTGTTGTTGACACATGAGGCTACATAATAGAGCATTGGCAACTTACATGGAGGACACAATATAACAGGACCTCGCATATGTAACTGATTAGCATATAGTGTGACTAAACATACTGTAGACATGACAAGAATGGGTTCAAAGCCAAAAGATGTGCACTCATCTGGAGAAGACTGGTAAATAAGATTTATGCTGTGCGAGCGCTGTGGGGGTTGAAAACCCATCAAGCCGTAACTTATCATGTTCTTCTAATTAGAGTTCCAGCGTCCTCACCGGCAGTCAAAAAAATTACACCCCATTAATATTCTGCCATTTACTTGGAGCACTTGCATAATTTTTCATAAGCATAATGTGACTTAACATCAGAAGACGTCAGTTCTCAGCAGCGCGGCTCGCAAGACTCCATGTTTCTGCTCGGAAACAGCCCCCTAAATAGTTTATCACAGGCATAATGTGATTTAACAATCAAAGGCATTGCTCTACAACCTCTATGTTTCAATGTTGAGGTGGAAAGCTACTTACTGTGAGAGTGTAACTTAATATAGAGGCCGTACTATCAGCTTATCAGAAAACAGGTAGAGAACCATCTCCATATTGTTTCCACACCTTCTGTCATTCGTGTGGACTTTCCTCTGATAGTGTCTGTCCAGAAGTCAGTGGTGGAAAACAACTATGCTTATTTCATAGCTTAGTTGAATTGTGGATCCTGATTGGTCTATTTGGAAATGTCAGAGGTTGTAAATACTGACTAACACACCACTGCTAAGGACAACAGACCATTGCTAAGGAGGATCAAGGGACTATGTGCAGTCATATCAATCAGCAGAAAGAAGTCCGGTAAATTCAACGTCAGCTGTGGACAACAAACATTCGTTTTCACCTTCGGGAAACACCATGGAATACTATTGGGAAAGGCAGAAGAGGACAGACAGGAAGTAACACTAAAGGGAACAACAGAAGAAGACAGACGAGAAGTAAACACTAAAGGGAACAGCAGAAGAAGACAGACAGGAAGTAAACACTAAAGAGAATAGCAGAATAAGACGGACGGGAAGTAAACACTAAAGGGAACAGCAGAAGAAGACAGACAGGAAGTAAACACTAAGATGAACAGTAGAAGAAGACAGACAGAAAATAAAAACTAAAGGGAACAGCAGAATAAGACAGACAGGAAGTAAACACTAAAGGGAACAGTAGAAGAAGACAGACAGGAAATAAACACTAAAGGGAACAGCAGAAGAAGACAGACGGGAAGTAAACACTAGAGGGAATAGCAGAAGAAGATAGACAGGAAGTAAACACTAAAGGGAACAGCAGAATAAGACGGACAGGAAGTAAACACTAAAGGGAATAGCAGAATAAGACAGACAGGAAGTAAACACTAAAGAGAACAGCAGCATAAGACAGATGGGAAGTAAACACTAAAGGTAACATCAGAAGAAGACAGACGGGAAGTAAACATTACCAGTAACAGCAGAAGAAGACAGACGGGAAGTAAACACTAAAGGGAACAGCAGAATAACACAGACAGGAAATAAACACTAAAGGGAACAGCAGAAGAAGACAGACAGGAAGTAAACACTAAGATGAACAGTAGAAGAAGACAGACAGAAAATAAAAACTAAAGGGAACAGCAGAATAAGACAGACAGGAAGTAAACACTAAAGGGAACAGTAGAAGAAGACAGACAGGAAATAAACACTAAAGGGAACAGCAGAAGAAGATAGACGGGAAGTAAACACTAGAGGGAATAGCAGAAGAAGACAGACAGGAAGTACACACTAAAGGGAACAGCAGAAGAAGACAGACAGGAAGTAAACACTAAAGGGAACAGCAGAAGAAGACAGACAAGAAATAAACACTAAAGGGAACAGCAGAAGAAGACAGAAGTCAGAAATAATAAATCTGATTGTTGTGTAATGTAATTAGACCCT